TTGAAAATCAGTTTTCTTGTAGTTTTATTCTGAAATCAGTTTTCTTTTAGTTTTATTCGGAAATCTGTTTTCTTGTAGTTTTATTCTGAAAATCAGTTTTCTTGTAGTTTTATTCTGAAATCAGTTTTCTTGTAGATTCCTACAGATTGAACTCATGTTAACCTACCTGTGGTTTTTCTTCTAATAAACTCTGTTTTCCTGACGTTTTACTCTGAAAATCTGCTTCCTGTTTAGGAGCGGAGGCGGAGTCTGCATCAGACGACTCCCCCAACGAGCTGATGGATGACGAAGAGGAGCCAATCAGCAAAGAGGAGGCAGCGGAGAGACTGCTGGTGGGGATTATATATTATTATATATATTATATTAATATATATAATAATATATGTTATTATATATTATCCATTATATATTATATCATGTGTGTGTCTCTCGATGTTTCAGGAGACGGAGAAGATGATCGCCGAGCTGAACGAGACGTGGGAGGAGAAACTGAGGAAGACCGAGTCCATCCGTCTGGAGAGGTGAGGCGCTTTACCTGTGCAATTATAAAACTATTCCAGTGAAATCAAAACAACAACATATAAACAAAATAATAATAATGAAAAAATATATATTATTACAAAAAAACTTATAAAAACTCAATTTTCTTCATTTGTGAAAATAATCTCAGACAACTTCATTTTTATCTCTTTTTTTTATTGTAATTTCAAGACTTTTTTTCTTGAATTAGATTAAATATGTTTTTTAGAATTAGTTGTTTTTATTGCTTTATTTATTTTGACCTTAAATGTATTTGATTGATCTCATGATGTCCTCAGGGAGACGATCCTGGCGGAGATGGGCGTGTCCATTAAAGAGGACGGCGGCACGCTGGGCGTCTTCTCCCCTAAAGGAGTGAGTATACTAAATATAATAAATCATATCAATAATAATATAGTCAATAAACCCTCCTACTGTTCATGTAAGGTGTTTAAATAAAGTTGTGTGTGTCAGACGCCTCACCTGGTGAACCTGAACGAGGACCCTCTGATGTCCGAGTGTCTGCTGTACTACATCAAGGAGGGCTTCACCAGGTACTGCTTTTTATGTATTAATATATAACATTTCATTCATTTACTCTGAGGGGTATAGGGCGAGAACAGAACTGTGAATATATTAATATTTAGAAAAATACACTCTGTACATCTGAGATCAAACAACTCGTCTATGTGTTTGTGATTTACCAGGAAAAATAATACATTTTAGAGATGAATTCGATATTTAATGTGATTTTTTGGAATTGTTTCAGTCAAAGCAATTTGAAAAAAATAAGGTATTTATGAGATTTAAAAAGTACCTTTTTTAGGGATTTAAGTGAAAAAAGGTCCTGAAATAGAAGCGTTTTTCTGCCATTCATGAGAGAAAGAAAAATATTATTCAGTAAAATCTTTGCAAAAATCTGTTTTTTTGGGCAAAAATATAGATTTTATAAAAAGTTTTAGGGTTTTATTTTAAGTGTTTCCTGTCATTAACAGATTGGTTTTTCATATTAAATATTGGTTTTTATTGTTATTACATTATATTTTGTTTTATATTGTACATTTTAATAAATATATATTTCATTCTATATTTGTTATTATTAAATATTGTTATTTCTTTAAAAGTGGGGTAGGTAAGTTTGAGAAACCGGCTCGTTGTTGTTATATTCCATGGAATGCTCTTAGCATCCCGATAGCAATGAATATCTGAAGTGCTTTGACAAAAAATACATTAAAACATATCATCTGTGGAAGCCGTAGTACTGTCAAAAGCACGACCAATCATCTGAGCCGGCTAAAGTAACTGGATGGCCTACCTGCCTGTCAGCCTTCCATCTGTGCACAAACTGATCTCGTGCCCTCATTGGTCATGTGCGCGTTCGTGTGTGTTGGAGGAGGGGCTCTGTAAGGAA